GCCTATTATTTTCTTTTTGTTTTGTCCCTTTGTATCTCGATTCCGATTTAACAGCTGCGCGGTGTGCCATTGCACTTTAGCCTGTTATAACAGCTCACTGGTGTTGCATTGTGAGGGGTGCGATGCTGTCATTCACATCACGGAGCCACAATTGTCAAGTACCCGCTTGTTAATGGATCCTGCTCGGCAAGAGGGGCTCGCGTCTTCAGACGATTTAGATCAGTCTGACCCCGGACACAAAACGCCAGTGATGGAACACAACAAAACCACCGGGACAGTAGGGTCTTCCGCGACGACCACTGATATGAAACACTTTAAAGTGGTCGTTCAGACAGCATTTAAAAAAGGGGGAACCGACGCTCCTTTTGTTTTAGTAGATGAGAACGAAAACGCTTCCGATATCTGAAAATCATTTGCCCATGTCCATTCCGCTGGTGGTGCTCCCGTGTGGGAGCACAACAACGGATATGTAGCCTGCAAACGCTGCTTCAGAGTGTATGCGTTCAGCTCCGCACATGGAACAAGTACTTTGCAACAACACAATTGTCTCAAGGAGCCAGAAGGAGCAGGCCTCATGCGCCTCTTTGCGACTTCTGTCGTGCCTTCAACAACTCAAAAAAACAGGATGGCCAAGAAGGCCGCCATGTGGTGCTGCAAAGACTTGCGACCCTTCAACGTGGTAGGCGACCGGGGCTTTGTAGATACTATACAGGAAGCGTACGACATGGGCGTGGCTGTGGGCAAGGCTATGGACATGGGGAAGGTCATGCCGGTCCCCAACATAGTCAAACGTCATGTTCTCGGGACAACCGCCTTCGTCCGCGAGAAGGTGAAACAAATGGTGACAGACCATTTCACTGACGGTGGGCATGCAGGTTTCACAGCGGACATGTGGACAGATGAGGTAAAAAAAAATTCATTTATGTCTGTCACCATGCATTATATCGACGTGGCGTTTAAGTTGCATGCGCGCAATTTACAGGTGAGAGCATTTCGCGAGGATTCACACACCGGACAGCCGTTCTCAAGGCATTCCAAGAATGCCTTCAAGATTTGGCTGCACAGATGATGAGAAATGTGTGGTGTACACAGATAGTGGGTCGAACATGGCTGCAGCAGAAGGGATCCGGAAATATTACAAGTGGATGGCATGCTCAGACCATAAAATCGCGACCGTCTTGACAACGGTATTCAACAAAACGACAACTACAACGGACGGAGTTCGCTCCGCGCCGTTTTACAAGTATCATAAGTATGCACCACACTTATTTGAAATGATTGACAACTGCAAGAAGTTGGTACGGTATTTCAAACAAGCGAACTTGCAAAATTGTTTGAACAAGACACTGAAGCAAAAGAATGCAACACGATGGAATTCATTGCTGATTTCCCTGAACAACATTTTGGACGGTTATGATGATGTCACTACTGTCCTCGCAAGGATAGCCAACACGAATCGGCAGGCGAACAAACAATTTCTCATCACGAGAATTGACAAGACGTCGCTTGCAGCTCTGCCACGGTTTTTGAAACGGTTTCAGACTGCCACCCTTGCGTTGGAAAAATATCTGGAACCGACATTGCACCTGGTTGTGTTTGAGCGTAGTGCTCTCTTGGAGTACTGCAAACCGCGTACTGAGCCATACTACTGCAAGGACGCTGATGGTAAGAAGTTCACAATCCCATCAGACTCAGACGATATCATAGTCGTGAAGTCGTTGATCGAGGATGTGTTGCGGGAGAAATGGATCTTAGATGATCTTCACATTGCTGCAGCTTTGCTGGACCCGCGAAAGAAGGACGAGCTGGATCGTTTCGGGTTGTCGAAAACCCAAGTTGAGCGTGGACGAAGTTGTTTGCAAGAAATTATGCACAGTGTCAAAGACACAAGTGCAGAGGCAAGTGAAGAACCTGCAGCAGCAGAAGGGAGGCGCCGCTGAAGCGCAAAAAAAAACGCCCGCGAGAGATATTCCCCGACAGGCTGACGTTGTGTAGTACGGACGAAGATGAGGAGGACCAGCCCATCGCTCATATGAGGCCATTAACGTTGCAACAGCGTGTAAGAAAGGAGTTGGAGTTCTACTCCGGCTTGAAGCTCACAAAAGAAGAGAAGAAGAAGTTCGACATCCTTGTGTGGTGGAAGGCGAAAGGGACTGTTGCAAAGAACGCAGAGGACCAATTGGAGTTCTACTCCGGCTTGAAGCTCACAAAAGAAGAGAAGAAGAAGTTCGACATCCTTGTGTGGTGGAAGGCGAAAGGGACTGTTGCAAAGAATGCAGAGGACCAATTGTTGCTGCCACCACTACCGATTATGGCCCGTGCAGCTCGTGGAATCCTGTGTGTTCCTGCGTCCAGTTCCGAGAGCGAGTGCAATTTCTCGGACGCAGGAAACACTGTCACGAAGAAAAGAAACCTGCTCAATCCATTTGTGGTGAATGACGTTCTCTTTGTTCGCTCTAATTGCGATGTGGTCATATGATGCGGGTACTGTAGATCTGCAGGTTGTCAACTTTCAATGCAGAGCAATGCAGGTTAACTTAGGCAGGGGTGAGGGGGGGTACATCCTGCCACAAGGAAGTAATCAATGTCGCCCACTCAGACCTCCCAACCATAATGGGGAGGAGCGTCTGTGAGTTTCCAATGTATTTCATATTGACTTGCCGGTGGAATGCATACTGGATCGTTGCTCCCCAGAATGGCGGGAGCCAGAACCGCGAGGTTCTGATATTAAAAAAAAAAAAAAAAAAAAAAAAAAGCAGAGTCTGAAGACTGTTTTTTTTTTATGTGGTCACATGGTGTGGTTGTTTTTCTCAATTATTTGGTTTGGGGCAGCAGATGCAGCAGTGTAGCAGATGATGCAGCAGATGGAGCAGTGCAGCAGCACATCTGCTGCAGTAGTGAGGGGCAGTTAGGGGCAGTTAGGGGAGGGTGGGTAACAGGTGCGGGCGGTTACAGACAGGTGCATACAATTGTGGGTGCATGGGGTTGCGGGTACGGGTGGACACGGGTTAGGAAGATTTCGGTTGAGTATGGTACGGGTGGTTAAGACACGGTTGGGGTTCAGTTAGCCATGGGTGGTTGAAAAAAAAAAAAAAAACAAGGGCGGGTATGGGCAGTTACAGTCTGCAGAGGTTCAAGTATGGGCGGGTGTAGTTACCCATTTTTTTTTTCGGATCAGTTAGCCATGGGTGGTAAAAAAAAAGAAAAAAAAAAAGGGCGGGTACGAGCAGTTAAAGTCTGCAGAGGTTCACGTATGGGCGGGTACAGTTACTCGTTTTTTTTTTTTTTATCAGTTGGAGGTAGGTAGAGATGCGGTAGGCCTGGTATACAGTGGTTACGGTTGGTTGGTTTGCGAAAAGTGTGTGGTTAGTTTAGTTACAGTTATTCCTAAAAATCCTAGTTGCGAACTCTGGTACGAGCAGAAGGAGGAGTTGGTCCTTAAACCCTTCCAGGAAGAAGATCCGTGGGGGAGTAGGGATGTAGGCTGGATGATGAGGTTGACATTCGCAGGGACACATAGTCTAGCGGAGGAAGTAAGGACGATAGAGGAGGGTCCAACCAGGTAGAGGAGCATGAGCAACTAATGCGAGGAATGTACTTGCTTACCAACACGCTCCTGCAGGGGAACTTTGACCAGAGGAGCGCAACCGGTTCCGAGAAGGGCGAACTTCTTATTCCTGAGAGCCAGGACGACGAGTTCGAAGAGGGAGAGATTAGGGAGGCCTTCCGTGCTGAGGAGTATGACGGGATCTATCGAGAGTTAGGGTTACTCCTGTCGTGCGAGATAAGGGATAGGGACGCAAGTGAAAAAGCCCAGAAGATGAGACACCTCTACGTAGTAAGAGATGACCACCTGTTTATAAAGGGACAGGTTGAGAACCCCATGAGGATCGTATGTGGGAGGAACCGGCAGATTGATGTCATAGCAGTCTTACACGATGGTATAGCAGGGGGGCTCCAAGGGGTTAGTGCCACGTGCACGAAGATAAGCGAGTTATACCATTGGGATGGAATGCTGACTATGGTCATCAAGTACTGCCAGTCCTATGTACCTTGCCAACAAAGGTCAGCGCAAAGGCCTGGGGAGCCTCTGCACCCCAGGCTGGAAAGGGAAGTGGGTGCGGTCGTACACCTGGACCTGTTGTTCATGCCACTCGGGGAGGATGAAAGTAACTATATCTTCGATGCACGGGACAACCTTACCGGGTTCGTTGACGGTCGGGCTATTCGCACAAAGACTGGCCCAGTTTTGGCAAGGTGCATCGAGGAATACTACCTGCGCTATCCGTTCGTCAAAAAGTTGGTGATGGACCGGGGGTCGGAATTCACCTGTAACGAGGTACGGACCTTACTTGCGGGGTATGGCGTTGTAGCGAACTATACTACTGCTGCGCACCCCCAGGCAAACGCTCCTGTGGAGAGAGGGCATAGTACCATCACGAACCTCTTGGCTAAGTGGACTGAGGGGAGGCCCAACCAGTGGCCGAAATTCCTGAGAACGACATTCTTTGTGGAAAATGTTACAGTGAAAAGGAATACCAAGTATGCGCCAGCCACGCTATGGTACGGAAGGCACGCCACCTTTCCCATAGAAAGCTTTATGAAGACGTGGAGGCGCCAGGACCTCGAAGTGAACCTGGCATTCGAAGAACTGCTCGATATATGGGCGCGGCAGGTGGAAGCCGCTGAGGAGAGATTACGAGAGGCCGCTGGCCAGGTGGAGAGAAGTTGTATAGAGGACAAGATGAGATGGGACCAAATGGCCCGAATAAGGAAGGACCCGTTGAAGGTTGGAGATGTGGTATTGCTGTATGACTCCTCGTTGGAAAAACAATGGTCCAGGAAGCTAGACAAACAATAGTTAGGACCTTATAGGATCGTGCGGTGTGGCGAGTTTGGGGTCTACCAAATTGAAGAGCTGGATGGGGCAGGGTGGCAGGATTGGGTATCGGGGACAAGGCTGAAGTTCGTGGCCAGGGAATAGGTAAGGCACCACGAGACCTCGTTAGGAATAGAGTCCCGCCTAGGCTCTACCCTCGTCGAATGATTGGATAGGTGGGTGATTGAGGTGGATGGGTGTGGAGAGTATGTGGGATTTTCCTAGGCCAATGACTCGGTTGCTGACCCTGCTGTGTGCCTGTTTGTTGTCTTTCGCCTGTTGTGCAGGTCTGACTTTTCGAAGCCAGTCATGCAGAGGGGCGGGAGGGACACACGGCCACGCCAGGGACTCCAGAGGATAGCAGGAGGGGGCGAGCAGCATGGGCTGCCTAGGAGGGAGCCTACGCCTGAGTTCGATGACGACAACATTGAGCTCTTCCTGGACGTATATCTGGATCATGCGACACAGAGAGGGTGGTCAGTGGCGGAGAGGATCTACCACTTGAGGGGTGTAGGGCGGTTCGAGGAGCCTGTCGCTCAGATATGTGAGGAGGCCCTGACTTGGCCAGACGTGGAGGCCGGGATGCAGAGGTTGAGAGCTTCCCCCAGAGGGCGTGATGGCATGCCCATTCGATTGGAGGAGGGGAACGCGGATGAGTTCATCCCCGCGTATGAGCACTACATGCTGAGTCTGGGAATTGCGCAGGAGGAATGGGTGCAGGCCCTACTCATCTGGACTAGGGGGGCAGAGAGGCAGGTGGCCAAACAGATTCGGGAGAGGGCTCGAGACTGGGAGGACTGTCAAGCCCAGCTCAGGAGGGTGTTCGGACGGCCATAGCACGAGAGGCACGAGCCCAGAGTTGAGAGGCGATGGCGAAGCAAGAGGCCAAGGGAACCGGCACCGAGAGAGGCGAGGCTGGCCAGAGAGAGGAGGGGAGCCCCTGCCCAGCGGGAGGATGAACCCGTAGGGCCCGCATTGGCAGAGGAGTCGCTCCCTGCTTGTGGCCTCCGGGCGGTGGAGTTTCGGCGGATTACGAGCGAGGAGTTGAGACCGCCCTCGCCATTGCAATCAGCGCAGGAACTGGATATACCGAGAGAGACGCCATTCCGAAGCTTAGCGACTCATCTGGATGCATCTCGATGGGAGGCCTCACGATTGGGGGAGGGCTTAGTTGAGCCGACGTACTATGTGCCATTGGAGGAACCCTTGGACACCGAGACGGAGACAGACATGCGGGGCCAAGAGGAGCCACAGGATCCTGAGATGGCAGCCGAGCGGCCGGATCCGGTACGGCCTCAGGAAGGGGAGGTGATCACGGTTGGGGACGATACCCCTCCATGCTCCCCAGCTCCAGAGCCAGCACAGCGTTCATGGCCAGAGGGGATTCCTGAACCGGGCAGCGAGGAGATTTCGGAGTCTCCCCCTGAGGCCAGCACTATGCGTGAGCAGGAGGCAGAGGCGGAGAATCAGGGAGTGTGTGAGAGAGCGAGGATGGAGGCGCCCCTTGACTTGCCCTCGGCCACGCATGTGACCAAGAGCCCGGTTATCGAGGATCCCGTTCCAGCAGAGTTACCGCTAGTAGTGCCATGCGCGAGCGAAGGGATGGAGGGGGAGGCGTCGACTCCAGGGGGCCAGGGGCCGCAAGTGAGAAGAACCCCGAGAGAAACCCGCGAAGAGAAGTCCGCCCGAGTGCGGATCCGTCTGGATGAAATACATGCAAGGCAGGCTGAGATGGAGGCAGCGGGAATAGAGTCGACACCGCCGGTCGAGCCCAAGTCGAGCGAGCACGACGAATTGTGGACTAGGTATGAGAGCCAGAGGGATGCAGCCCGCCAGAGGCCACGAGAGGCAGGACCGACAGGCGAGGGGACGAGTGAGTTGAGGGAGATGGGAGACGTGGGATTCTCTGCGACCAGGATGGCGATCGAGCGCATGGATCGGAGGATATGTGAGATGGCAGTTACGTCCTTCCAGTGGTATAACCTACTCAGCAACGAGCTCAGGGTCAAAGAGTTGGAGGTAGAGCACCTGACTACTCGGCTTGCCGAGGAAAAGGCGAGGAGCCAGGCCAGAGAGGTTGAGTGGGAGAGGAGATTTGGGGAGATGGCAGCCGTTGTGGGTAGGCTCTCGGCGGCCTGGGAGGCTAGTCAGGCGGGACGAGCCGGTGCCGATGGCCAGGGCCGAGGGATGCGCGCTTCGCCGAGCCAGGGAGCAGCGGTGGAGGTCCCTCAGCAGGCTGAGCCCGTGGAGGAGGTGCCCTTGGACACGGCCAGAGAGGAGGGTGGCGCACAAGAGTCACTTATGGCTATGTCCACGGAGAGGAGAGGGTCGAGTTTGCATGAGTTGGCGGCAGCCATGGGGATAGGCACGCCACAGGAGGGGCCTCAGAGACTCGATGCTCCAGAACATGCCCCGAGGTTGGGAGAGTTGAGGGCGGAGCTGGGCTCCTGGGCCACGGGGACGAGCTTAGGAGGGCTTGACTTGCGGCAACAGCAGCGGCAGGAGGTCATGAGTGAGCTCACCGCCATGGGGGGCTCTCAGCCGTCAGGAGCATGTGGGGATGAGGTGGTGGTGACAGAGGGGCCTCATGAGGAGGGCAGCGGCAGGAGGTCATGAGTGAG